CCCAAGGCACATGGAGAGGTCCTCCCTGCATGCACTCCCCTGACTTTCCTACACCCCAATCCATTCTGTACCTTGACTCCTCTCTGGCCTGGGCAGCCCTGGAAACCTTGTGTCCCATTCACACCAGGTGGGCCTCGCTCACCCTGCAAAGAAAACAAAGGCATTTTGCAAGTTGGAGTCTCTTGTCTGGTGTCCCTCTGACTCTGTCTCGGAGAATGGCATGCAACATGGAGAGGGCTTCACTGTAACCAGGCTGTATGTGCCAACATCCTCAGTCTCCTAGCTCCTGGCTGAGAAAGAACCCACAACTTTCTGGGGGAAAATAGGCTCTGGGATGGTAGCAGCACCCAGGGGCTACTGCCTGCCTGGTTGAATATTGGTGACCCTGATATCCAGTATGGGTGCTGGGTCCCATAGACATTCTTCCCCTACACCCCCCGACCATTCCTCTGTGTTGCCATGGTTTCTAGCTGTGCCATGGCAACAGGGACTCCCTTATCTAGGCTGGATACCTGGAGGCCTCTTACTCTCCCAGAAGCCCCTCCATCCATATCCCAGAGATGGGTCTTATTCTAGGGTCCCAAAGACTTGCCAAAGCCTTGCTACAAAATAGCTCAGACTGCCCATCATCCCTCTGCCTCAGTCTCTCAAAAGCTGGGATGAGGGGTGCTTACCACAGTTTCTGCTCCTCTTTGTTCAAGTGGCACTGGGCACACCACACTTGGTGGCCTCTGTCTAACCTTCCTGCACAGTTCAAGTCTCCACCTGTACTCCATGCCTTAGAACCTCACTGCTCATAGCACAGAAACGCAAGGAAAATGGTTCCGTACGTTAGGAAATCATTTTTTCCATAAGGAGAAAGGCCCTGTCCACCAGAAAGGTTACAAAATCCACGGTCCGTTCCCAAGTTGGGAATGATGGGAGCCAGTAAAAACTTGAGGGAAATGGGAGCTTTTACTCACAGGTCCTCCTTCATCGCCAGGGTAGCCTCGGTAGCCATCTTCCCCAGAGATACCCTGAAATAAAGCACATGGGTCCCCATGTCACCTATGTTCTGCCTAAAGTGCCTCAACAGTCTCTTCACTGGACAGGGCTGTTCTGCCACTCAGCATGGCAGTAGGGCAGTAGGCGTTGCCCAGAGCTGAGAGTGCTGTGCACTGTCTATTCAGTGTTGATTCTTTCCATCGGAATATTTCAGTCTCTTTCTTTACCAAGAGAGCAGGTGGCACTCCATCAAAGCAAACATTCAGGGTCCCACTGACCCACATTGTGAGGCTGTGAGTGGGTATGCATGGGTTTTCACACTGTTTTATGAAATGACAAATTCAGTTGTCAAAGAGCAGATTCCCCCACCCAGTGGAAAAAGGGAATGTGGCTGGTGCTTGGGCCTTCTCCATCGCCAGCAAGACACACCATTGGGATACCAGTACCTGGGAGCACAGAATTGGCAGCCCGGGACCCTTCTCCCTCTCTCATGTCCATACATGATATTGGAGAAGTCACACAGCCCAGTAGTGTCCGAGCCTGCAGTCTAGCCCTGGTGTGAAGAGTACAGCCACCATACCTTTGGCCCAATGCTTCCAATGGGCCCTCTGTCCCCTCTCTCTCCAGAGCACTTGCATGGAACCCCACAGCAAGCTTTCTCAGCAATGTTGTCCTGCCAAGAAAAAAATAGATAAATATGAAGAAGAGAAAACAGAAAACCACCAATGTGCTGGTAATAGTCCCAATCTGTGGCACATGAGATGAAGCTGCCTAATGCCACTTGCTAAGGCTGGCTGCTGCTGAGGGCTCAGCTCACGGCATAGGGGGGATGCCCTTGTTGAAAGAGAGAAGCACAAACAACTGTGATCATTCTTAGCCACGGTGTCCTAGACTAGGCCCAGTTTCCAGACTTTTCCAATACAGATACTCAAGATTTGTGTTTTCAGTATAACCTCCGTATATCTAAACCTCAGATATAAAATCCAACAAATACATTGAAGCTGACTGAAGTAGAAGATTCATAATTAGAAATCCATGGCCTGCCTTCTCTGAGCCAAGGTCAGACTCATGGAAATCAGTACTTACTTGCCTGGAGGAGTCCCTG